TTCTCAAGTTAATGACGATTGAAGAAGATCAAAAGAAGAATGTAACGTTTTTTGTCATCAATCTGTTTTGTCATGCTTGACTTACGGGTATTTCAAGCCTAATTTGAACGTTATCTTAAAAAAAGAAAGTGGTGTTTATCATATTCGTTTATAAGATAACATATCTTACGTTATAGAAAATATCTGACCCTTATGAGCTTGACTTGGAACCGTTATAAACAATAACAAAGAATAGAAAGTCAATAAGCTTTGATATTCTTTGATGATTCAAAAAATCAACTTATACTACAGCGTTGTTCCTGGTAAGAGGACAAAAATGAAGGTTTTTTGCGTCAAATGCATCTCCTGAGCCCTAATATCCCACCATCAATCATGTTTGTCAATAATTTCTCGAACAATTCAATTGAATGAATCAATAAAAAATTGAAAATTTAAATCGTGTGATTCGGATGAATTCCGGTTAATTTTAAATTGTAAAAAAATACCTTGAAAATAGAGGAAATTCACTCAGCCGTTCTCAAGTTAATGACGATTGAAGAAGATCAAAAGAAGAATGTAACGTTTTTTGTCATCAATCTGTTTTGTCATGCTTGACTTACGGGTATTTCAAGCCTAATTTGAACGTTATCTTAAAAAAAGAAAGTGGTGTTTATCATATTCGTTTATAAGATAACATATCTTACGTTATAGAAAATATCTGACCCTTATGAGCTTGACTTGGAACCGTTATAAACAATAACAAAGAATAGAAAGTCAATAAGCTTTGATATTCTTTGATGATTCAAAAAATCAACTTATACTACAGCGTTGTTCCTGGTAAGAGGACAAAAATGAAGGTTTTTTGCGTCAAATGCATCTCCTGAGCCCTAATATCCCACCATCAATCATGTTTGTCAATAATTTCTCGAACAATTCAATTGAATGAATCAATAAAAAATTGAAAATTTAAATCGTGTGATTCGGATGAATTCCGGTTAATTTTAAATTGTAAAAAAATACCTTGAAAATAGAGGAAATTCACTCAGCCGTTCTCAAGTTAATGACGATTGAAGAAGATCAAAAGAAGAATGTAACGTTTTTTGTCATCAATCTGTTTTGTCATGCTTGACTTACGGGTATTTCAAGCCTAATTTGAACGTTATCTTAAAAAAATAAAGTGGTCTTTATCATATTCTTTTATAAGATAACATATCTCACGTTATAGAAAATACCTGACCCTTATAGAATAGATATTTTTCATTAGAATATATAGAAGAATAGATATTCAATTAACTTTGATATTCTTTGATGATTAAAAAGATTAACTTATACTACAGCATTTTTGTTGGTAGAAGAACAAAAATGAATGATTTTTTCATCAAATGCACTTCCTGGGACCTAATATCCACGATGAATTATAATCGATCAATAATTTATCGAACAATTCAATTAAACGAATCAATGACTATGGTAAAGCATTCGCCCCAGAAAGAATGCAAAATTGTTTTTTTCGTCAAATCCACCCCCAGAGACCTAATATTTCACTATTATTTGTTTTTGACCAACAATTTTTCGCCTAGTCTTGTCTCCCTCACCAAACCATTGCCACCCATTTTCAATTTTCCCAATCGCCAAGAAAAAAACAATTTAATTGAACGATCCAATGACCATGACGTCGCATCCGTCCTCAGTGACCCTGGAATAGCTATCATGTCGTGTTCACCACTTCCCCACTGGTCGATAGAGCTGCATTTGACAACTGATATAGTCTCCATGTAACTGAGAACACATTGCGTGCAATGCATTTGATTCTATCGCCCTCTTTAGCACCAAAGCACTTGAAAACGCGAAATAAAAAAAATGAAGTGTGAATGATCACGCGGGTCTTCTTGAGTTTATCGTTCTGCATGCCGTTTCCGCTCAATTTCCACGGCCTTGCGGCATTTATAATCCCCGGTATTCCCTCCAATTTCATGTATTTAGGTACACAATGGGTGAGGTAAATATTCTTCTGCAACGTGAGAAACATTTCAACTCTCTGAGTCATTAGATAAAGACTTCTACTATCAGAGTATGTGAGTTAACTGGTTAATGTTTTGTAATATTTACTTTCACCACGTGTGCATTTCACATCCCCAACATCTAGATCTCTTTCATGGATTTTCTGATATTTTTTTCTTCAGTTGCGCGTGCTGATAACGTCTCACGTTTATCTTTCTGTCTCGATGTCATTTTTTTGTCAGATTACTGAATTTCCCTGAACTTCTCGGGAAGTAACACCAAAATTTTTATAAACGATTAT